GTGAATCAGGGCCCACACAAATGAACTCAGCTGATTATTGATTACCTCTGTAAAGACTTTGTTTCCAAATAAGGTCACATCCTGATGCCCTAGGAGTGAAGATTTCAACATATCTTTTAAAAAAACACAACTCAACCTATATACTCCTCGGTACCACATGAGGAATTAATGAAAGCTGATATTCTCCCAGCCAGTGTTCCCTAGCAGTGGGAAAGCCAAGACCAGTGCTCCTTATACAGTGTCCTGGGGACACCCAGCACCTGCACCTATGGTTCTTGAAAAAAACATACAGATTCTGGGACCAACCTAGACACACTAAAACAGGTCCTTGAGGACCTGCTGCAAAGAGGCCTGGATGAATAGAACTCATCTGTCAAATGATCTTAAGACAAGAAAAGAATAGGGCTTCAAGTTTCACATGCACAAAAAATCAAGCAAGTAGCTGCTTTCCTCGAGCTTCCCCCAAAGCTTTTGCAAGAGCAGTGGGAGGCTGGGCAGGGCTGGGTGCTCCAGAGGAAGCTGGGAACTACAAGTGTAGAGGGTGGCCCCCATTCATGCTGGGGTGATTCTGGCCTGGGGCTGAGGCTCTGATCGTACAATGGCTGCAAAATTTAAACAGCAAATCTTGCTTTCGGCATACACATCTGTCATACCTCTAGGTTGTCACCCACACTTCTATGTCATGTTCCTCATCCCAGTGCAAAGTTCAAAGCATTGCTTTTGAGGATAAACCCGGACAGCTGGAGAGCAGAGTCCACTGGTCTGATAGCTGGGAAGCAGAGTACCAGGTAGCCCTGCCAAGTCCCTGGAATCTCCCAGAACAGAATGTGCTCTTTGAAGATGCTTCCAAGCTCCAGATGGAGGTACTGTGCCCTCCCCTTGCCCTCTTGTTCTCATTCACTTTCAGTGACACTGAGTTCAATTTCAGTGACGCTAAGTTCAACTTCAGGGACACTAAGCAAAACTGACCTACTGACAGAACACAGAAGCCTGTTAAGGTCCCCAGAGTCGGAATGTGCACACTCCTTTGCACCCCTCCCTGCCCCTTACAAAAGAAAGGTTGGAAATGGAGTCTCAGTAAGACAGCTGCCAGAGAGACAGCAGAACAGCAGGTGGGTTCTGAACAGAGGTAAAAAGAGGAACAGCGTAGCCTTAAAGAACAATTGCGACTGATGGAAAAGTTGAGTTTTGGTAAGGCTTAGATTTCTTAACATTAAGAGTTTCCAAAGTCCTTTTTCTTTTGTTCTTTATTCAAGTCTTTCCTGAGCTGGATTTGTTGGTAATCTGAATGATGTGGTGAATATCAGAGTCTTGGAAGCTAAGCACTAGATTTGTGGGCCCTCCAGGAGCAGAAGCAGCCTCAAGCCCTAAGGGTGCTCAGGAAAACAGGCACCCTTGAGGAGCAGAAACCCTAAGCCTGGGGCTGGTGGGAGGCACTACCAGAAAAAGTGAATCCTCTACCCCTAAGCCAAAATGGAGCCAAGAGGGATACAAAGTAAAATGGTGGGGAGTCCAGATTCCTCAAGCATGGAGGAGAGAAGGACTGGCGGGAAAGGGAGGGGACAAACATTATTAAATTGCAGCTAAAAGAATGAAGAAGTTGTTAGGCAACATATTTCCTGTGGGACTAAGCTCCACAGCCATTTGTCCTTTATCTCTGCCCTGGGCCACATTCCCAGCACACCCTTCAAGAGCTGTGCCAAATGGAGGTGACAGTTGGTGACATCTCTCTGGTGAAAACAATCAGATCTATTCCACGAACACTAAACCTAAGAATGAACCACCCTATGATGAAACTGTGATGCTGATTTTAAAAATATAACAACTCTGCAGTTATATGTTTTCCTTTTTGACCTGTAGTTAAATAATGTTACATTTATGGACTAGTTTCCTTTCCTGTAGAATAGTAATAAATGAAGATTTAATGATACAGTTCCTTTAAAAGTAAATCTTCATTCATGGATAGACTATAAAGTATCTATCAGAGATTGGTAAATTCAGAGCAAACACAAAGCTACTTCTATAGCTAGACATGTATAGATATTATGGCATGTGCTATTTTTAAAAATCATCTTTCGCAGAGCTCAATCAGTAATTTTTATCATCCTTTTTGATGCTATTGTTTTTAAATTAGAAAGGAAAAAAATAATTTCTTGAAGTCATCATTAGCCAGATCTAACACAAGTTCTTTATAGACTGGAACTTGACTGTGATATTTTATGATGTATTTTATTCTACAGCTCTTCACATCTTTTTTTTGTAGTAAAGAGAGATATCAAGTCAAAAATAAAATATTTTTAAGACAAAAATAACTTCAACTTATGATCAGCAACACTTGAAAATTTGGACAATATTCTCTTAGGAACATAATTTCTAGAATTGTGAAATAGCCCCAAATATTGATTATAGTTACTGAAATTCACCACTCAAAATGAAAACCATTCACAGTTTCTGTTATATTAATAGCCATTCTGAACAAGAGCCAAATGTTCTACACAGGTTTTTGTATTATAGAGCTGATTCCAAGTCCCAGGTGCCCATAGAAATCTTTGTTTTTTTGTTTTGTTTTGTTTTGTTTTCCTATTCTTACTGATGACATTTTTCTATTTCTAGTTTTTAAAATTATTTTTGTTATTTTCAAATTATTAACACATAATATAACATTTATATGCAATTTTCAGTGAGAGCTTTTTTTTTGGTAACAGGGATTGAATTCAGGTCCCTGTGCTTGGGAGACGGGTGGCGGAACCACTCAGCTAAATCCACAGCCCAGTAAGAGCTTTTTCAAAATTACAGATGGTATATGGATACATAAAAGTATTTAAAGAGGTAATGAAAAGTTTGACAATCACCTTCAGAGTTCTTCCAGATTTTTCTCTTTCCTCACTTTTCATCCTTTTAAAATCTACGAATATTTAATTCTGCTTGATTTGAAAAATAGGCTTTTGCCTTACAACAGCTATGTTCCAGTGGTGGTATACAAGCACACACTCACAGAGTCGTGAGTCACCACAACAGGAATACATCTGAGAAATGCATCCTTAGGTGATTCTGTCATTTTGTGAACCCTAAGGCGTGAATGAATTAAGATAGCTCATTACTTTATTACAAGGAGACACAATTTTACAGAATGCTGCTAACAAAAACATTGCCATGAGGTACATGACTATACATAATTTTATTTGTACCTTTATAATTCTTTCTTTTAATGATAAACTGATGAAATATAGTTTGTTCCAAGGATTTTAGAGTCATACAAGTCTTCTGAATGAACATAACAAAGTTAAAGAGTAGTTTTCCTATATAGCTCATTAATATAAATTTTTCTAATTCTGGGTTTAACATGGTTAAACATGGACATAGTATCTTTTCTTCCCTTGATTTCTGTCTCTTTTTCAGTCCTAAATTTAAAAGATTATTGTCATGAATTCTCCATTGACAAGTAATGTATTTGAAATTAATTCCAGTTTTAAATTCTCTTTAAAATTTTACAAATATAAAAATACCACATAGGAATCTATTGATAAGTATGAGAATTTTATACTTGAGTTCAAAGATGCTCTGGAAATAATACTGCCAAAATTTCATAAAGGAAAGTAAATGTTTAAAGAGCAATAAAACTTAACCATAACCAAGAGTTGGATGTCAGGAATTTGGCCACTAGTTGTTGCACACTAATGTTTTTCTTCTCTCAAAGGACAAAACAAGGCAATTAACAAATATAAAGATGGAGTAAAAACCTATTATCCCATAATATTCATAGCTCAGTTTATACATAATGGATCTATTTACTTAAGAAGTATGTAGCTGCTCAATAAAACTCTTAATGCCAAATATAGACCAGAGTTTTTGTTTGCCAGTTGCACTAACCCTGAAAAACCAAAATCTTCTCATTGATCTCTGTTTCCATGTACCCCAATCTGCACCACCCAAATCACCTGGATGGACACCTTCTAAAATGTCTGTATCACAGGATTGCTAGCTCCTTATTCAAATGTCCACATATTTATATGTTGATACAAGCAAATACCTGTGTGATTCTCTAATGCCAGACTTATGTTTGCCTAGCCTATAACATATCAGTGACCCTGGAAATGCAGGTATAAAATTCTTTATTTTTTATTTTTATAAGAAAACAATCTATGCTTCATCAGTAACAATTTCATCTTCTGAAATAAACCAAATGAAAAAATTCTCTTTGAAAATCCACTTCTCATTTGATAAATAAACCCACAAAAGAGATTTAACTCCCTCTTGCTTTGTTACAAGCTCTTGGATACTCATAATGGATATTTTGTCATGGAGAAGTCTTGTTTCCATAAGAACTAGAATTTTTTTCTCCGTGAACAAGAGCAACAATCCAGTTTTATAGGAGCACTACTTCTGAGATGATGAAGTATCATTTCAACCATGATCTTTCCGTAAGTTCCTCTCAGGACTGATGCTTTCATTTATTTCTATGGTATTTCCCTTTCTCTTCAAATATTATATTAAAAGTAGGTTGGAGATGTAATTGGTATTCAACATAAAAAGCTATTATTAGCTCTTTTCTTCATAAAGATCTTTAAAGAAAAGCTCTTTTAAGGAAAATCTGTTAATAGTTGAGATACTTTAAACAATAGTCCTCAATATTGAAAACTTTTATAGATTATTTAGTATCAAACATTTCTGATGCTATGCACATACAATATGTAATATATGTGTCATGTAGTGTCTACTCCAAATCTTTTTGGTATGTCAAATGTAAAATGGGTTAAATTATGTCATTAAAGATTTTAGCATTGTAGATTTTGATTTTTCAAATGTTATTTCTGAAATTCCAGGAAAATTACAATATAGTAATACTGAAAATTAACAAATCTTGGTGTAACCTTGAAATTAATTAAATAACAGTGTACTGTTTCTCTCCCTGCCTCACCACCCCACTTCTCCTGTGACATCATCACAAGTTCTTCGAAGTTGTTGACTCTTAAAATAAAAATCGAGCTTAGCATTCTTACCTGGCACCCTCTTTGCCCAGTTGATCATGTGAACCAGCTCCCTGTCTGCCAGGTTGGTCAATAAGCCCATCATTGAAGCTTCACTGAAGGGTTTGTTGGGATCATACTCAGAATAGATTAAGGGGGGCTCAGCCTCCAGCAATGCATTGACCATCTGATCAGCTGTCAAGGACAAGACTGGGCTGTTCTTCTTAGAGTGCTTAATTACAAGAGGGCTTGGCCAAAGGTTAGAAGCTCTCATGTCTCCAGAGGACTCATTCCTTCTCTCCTCATCATCTCTCTGTCGCTTGTATTTCAACATTCTCCCTCCTCTTCGGTCTTTCCGTATCCCTGAAAACACAAAGAAAAAACAATTAATTTATATTTCCTTCATGTAAACTTTCACTCAAAGATCAAATACACAGCTAATAATTTCTTGTTTATTAAAATCGATGTTTAGGGACACAGGCAAACTAATAAGCACTTAATAACTGGATCTCCAAAAAATAAAGAAAAAAAGGCACTGATTTGCAGAATTTTCCAATTTTGTAAATGCCACTACTGTAAGAAATTCTAGCTCACCTGTCTGACATTAAGAAGCTATGATTCCTGACGATATATGACAGTGAGTTTTTATGAGCCACAAGCTGGCTCTGACAAACATGGAACCATCAGGGTGTGTGTGTGTGTGTGCACACGCACGTGCGTGCATGTGTAACTGAGAACAGAATAGTAGTATTATTAAACTATGGTTTAACATCACAGATTGTTTCTGCTATGAATATTCTTTCAATAATAAATTAAAAGGGTATTTTTGATAATGGGGAAATGCAACAAAACAGTGGAGTAAACCCTGCAGACATGGAATCCCAACAGAAATATTCATCCATGAGAGTATTTTTAAGAGCTAAAGAAATCACAAGAGATCACAGTACCTGATTTTATCACAATAATAAAGATAGATATATTGAAGAAGGTATAAAAGAAAGAGTTGGCTATATTATTCCTCCTCCAACTCTGAGCACCACAGTATGGAGCAATGCCTTCCACTTGAGGGAGGGATAAGGAACTAAATGCTGGCCTTTGACCTAAATGCTAAAGCCCATGGACCTCAGCCTGCCCCAGTAAGACAGACCTGTATTTCAGCTCATACCACTTTCAGCCAGATATAGTGGTTATGGACCTTGAAGAGACAATAGCAGGCAAGCCATAGTAACATGGGTGTTGGAATTGCCCCATACTGCACAAGTCTCACTGGACTGTGAACTCTTAGTGTGCCCTAGCATTCAAGAAGCCATAGTGGCCATAGGACTGCCAGCCCCATCCCTGATACAACCCCAGGCAGAACAACATGGACATTTATTGTCCAATGGGGAAAGAAGTGGGTCATAGGCACAACATATAACTTGACCCTCCACAGTAAGAACCAGTGCCAAGCAGAAACCCATGATACCAAAACAAAATGGTAGTAGCAAGATCTAACTTAAGGACACTTACCCTAAAAGCAAACAGATTCAATTCTCCAGTTAAACGACAAAGTGATTGAATGGATTAAACTATAGACAAAACCAAACACTGCTTATAGGAAACTCACTTCAGATCTAATGACATGTGAGGATTGAAAATAAAGAAATAGGAAAAGATGTTCTAGGCCAATGGAAGCCAAAAGAGAGCAGGCATAGCCAAACCTGTACTACACAAAAATAGACTTTAAGTCAAAAGCAGTAAATAGAGAGAAGGAGAGTTATTGCATAATGATGAAGAAAGGATTCAATTTACCAAAAGGAAATAACAAAACTAAAAATCATTAACAGGAGAAACTTTTGAAACTATACTAAAACACTAAAATTTAACAACATTCTCCTGTACAACCAATGAAAAGAAAATTAAGAAGGAAATTTAAAACTTTGAAACTATCATTTCCAAATGATGGTGGAAACAACATACGAAAACCCAGCAGATAGAGCTAAAGTTGTACTAAGAGGAAAGTTTACTAATTTGCATATATTGAACCATTCTTGCATTACTAGGGTAAATCTCACATGATCATAATGAACAACCTTCTTAATGTTTTGTTGGATTTGGTTTGCTAATATTTTGTTAAGAATTCATGCATGTGAGTTCACTAGGAATATTGACCTGTACCCTTGTCCTGTATCAAAAAGCAGACAGATCTCAAAAAATGCCCTACTTTTGTACCTCAAAGAACTAAAAACCATGAAGAAAACAAAGCCAAAATTGATAGAAGAAAAGAAATAATGAAGAACAGAACAACAACAAATGTAAAAGATTAAAACAATACCAAACTTGGGCCGGGGATTTAGCTCAGTAGTTCCACTGACTGCTTGGAAAGCACAAGATCCCAGGTTCAATCCCTGGTACCAAAAAAAAAAAAAAAAAAAAGGGAGGGGGTGAAGGGAGGGCAGGGATAAGGGGAAAAAATGAGAATCAAGACTTGTCATGTAGAGGTACAGGATCCCAACAATGAATGTAACTGTGCTGTATCCCCCCTAAAATGTACCAATAAACTCAATTAAAGCTGGAAAAAAAAGGAAGAAGATTTGATTTTTTGAAAATAAGCAAAAGCAAGCTTTCAGATAGACAAAGAAATAACAAGTCACACCACAGAAATGAAAATGATTATTAGAGTTTACTTTTGACAACTCTATGCCAACAAATTTGAGAACTAAGAAGACATGAAAAAATTCCTGGACACATATACCTTGCCAAAACTGAATCACAAAAAGTAAAATAAATCTGAAAAAAATAATATTGACTAACAAAACTGCATCAGTCACAAAACTCAGAATCATATTTCTTCTCTGCTGAATTCTACCAAACATTTAAATAACTAATAGCAATTATTTTCAAGTTATACAAAACATTCCAGAATAAAGAACCTTCCAAAATCCTTATTATTATCATGATGACAAACCAGATAAGGACACACAAGAGAAAGCTGCAGACTAACATCTTTAAAGAACAAGCATGCAAAAATTCTCAACAAAATACTAGCAAACCCAATCCAACAAAATATTGAAAATGTCATTCGCCATGCCCAAGTGGGATTCACCCCAGGGATCCAAGAATGGTTTGGCTTATGCAAATTAATAAATAGGACACACCAATAGAATGAAAGAAAAAAATCTTTCTAATCAGTTTAACAGATGTAGATAGATGATTTGATAAAACTCAATAACCTTGCATGACAAAAACTTGAACAAATTAGCTATAAAGTACATGCCTTAATATTGAAAAGATCAAATACCAGTAGAATAAGACAAGAGCTTATATATATTGAATAGAACAAAGCTGAAAGCTTTCTCTCTAAGATTCAAAACAAGACAAGAATGCCTACACACTTTCATCATTTTTAGTCAATCTAGTAGTAATAATCCTAACCACAGCAATAAGGCAAGACAATTAAATACCATCCAAACTGCAAAGCAGAATGTCAAATTGTCACTGCTTATCTTATACAGAAATTATAAATTACAAAGACTCCACCAAAAACCTTTTATAATTAATAAATAAACTCAAAGGGCTGGGGATTTAGCTCAGTGGTTCTGCTGCCTGCCTGGCAAGCTCAAGAACCCAAGTTAGGCCCCCAGTACCCCCCGCAAAAGAAACAGACCTAGAAAATAAACTCAGCAAGTTTTCAGGATAAACAACATGCAAAAATGAATAGCACTTCTACAGATCAATGTTGAACCAAAAAAGAAAAAATCAAGAAAACAAAGCAATCCTGTTCACAATAACTACAAAACTAAACCAAACAAGATACTTCAAAATAAGCCTAACCAAAGAAGTGAGAGTCTACATTAAAAACTGCAAAGCACTGATGAAAGAAGTTGAAGTAGACACACATAAAACAATGAAAGATATCTGTGTTTATGAATTGGAAAAAGCAATGTTGTTAAAGCATTCGTATCATCTAATGTGATCTACAGATTTAATGGAATTCCTATCAGAATACAAGGGACATTCTTCACAAAATAGGGAAAAAAAACTAAAATTTTCATGAAACCACAAAAAACTTGAGAAAGACAGAAAGAGGAGACATTAAAATATTTGACTTCAAAATATAGTACAAAGCTATAGTAATGAAAAAGCAGCATAATATTGGCATAAAAAGACATATATACTAGTGGAAAAGAATAGAGAGCTTAGAAGATATTCACACATCTACAACCAATTGATCTTCAGTGAACACACTAAGAATACATTCTGGGGAAAGAGTAGTCTCTTCGGTAAATGCTGTTGGGAAAACTAGATGACCATATAGAGAAGAATGAAACTAGATCACAATATCTTACCATACAAAAATGAACTCAAAATGGATTAAGGATTTAAATGTAAGACATGAAATTGTGAAACTACTAAAAACATAGGCGAAGCACTTGAGGACATTGGAATGGACATGGATTTTTCTAGATAAGCCCCCCAAAGCACAGGCAATGAAAACATCAGACAAATGGGGTCACATCAGACTAAAGGCTTCTGCACAGCAAAAGAAATAAGAGAATAAACAGACTAAAATACAAAGGAAGAAAATAATTGAAAATTCTCTACAGATATGAAGTCAGAACACTATACCTAAGAAACTCAACTCAGTAACAAAATGATCATTATAATCATCATGATATGACCAATAGACCTACATACAGGAAAACATTACTCAAAAGAAGGCACATGAAAAACCAACAGGTATTTGAAAGAAATGCTCATCATCATTAATCATCCGAGAGGGGGCTGGGGATTTAGCTCAGTGGTTCGGTGGCCTTCCTTGCAAGCGCAAGGACCCGAGTTCAATCCCCGGTACCCCAAAACAAAAACAAAACAAAACAAAACAAAAAATCATCAGAGAAGTGCAAGTCAAAATCAACAGTAAAATATTACCTTGCACTGGGTAACATGGCTATTATACAAAGAGACAAAGATAACAAGTGTTAGTGACAGTGTGGAAAAAAGGAACCCTTCCATACTTTTGGATTGTACTCAAAAAATTAAAAACAAAGAACTACTGTTTGATCCAGCAATTCCACTACTAGGTATATATCCATACGAAATGAAATCGGTGGGTCAAGGGAACATCAGCACCCCTTGCTTGTCCATAGGAGCACTATTCACACTAGCTAAGAAATGGAAACAATCTAAGCGTCCATCAACTGATGAATGGATAACGAAAATAGGATACATATACTCAGTGGAGTACATTCAGCCACAGAAAATAATAAAATTTTGTTTGCAACTACATGAATAGAAATGGAAGATGTGGTGTTACATGCAATAAGCCAGGCAGAGAAAGTCAAGTACTAAATAATGTCACTCATATGTGGAATCTTAAAAAG